TCAGTTCAAACAGTCACTGTGAAACTTGTCTGTTGTTTAACGATTCTGTGTGTATCTGTTTTTCTTTGTTGCTTTAAATCAATAAAAATATCTTTGAGAAAAAAAGAATCCAGTCAATCTTCCACGTTCCTTAGATTACCATGAGCTGGAGGAGAACCTGCACAGTTATAAACAGGTGATCATCCAGTCCAAGTGTTTCTGGGAAAGATACTGAACACCAAATTATCTCTGATGCATCCATCAGTGCAGTGTTTCCCAACCACTGCCATGGAAGATTATCTGGTTCCACCTGATTAGTACTGTAAGCAATCAGTGTGAGTGACAGGCAGTTACATTTTACTCCACTAGAGGGCAGTACAACTACCTGCTCTAAATGTGCTGCCAACTGACAGTAAAACAGAAGAAGACAAAGAAGAAATGACATAATAGTCACGCTGTGAGACGTAATAGCAACAGATAAATGTCTGAAAAGAAAAAGTAGTGTAACACAAAAAGACGACCATGATCACAAATCCAGTATCAGCCACAGTAAATACACAGAAACACACTGAGAGTGACGCAAGGTGTTGTTCGTCTGTACCGTCAGTCTAGTCGTCTGTCCATCGGGTCTGTTGTGCTGAGGGAAGGGGACAGAGTCGTAGACCACCCCGAGCAACCCTCGATCCTCTGATGACGGGACGAGGTGACCAAAACCCTGCCAACACACACACACGGACACGTGCACGGACGTGAGGGTTCAATATAGTTTGTTTTTACAACACAGTGAAAATCTTCTTGTATCTGGTAATCTCAAAATTCAAAGAAGTGTTTTGTGTGCTCTCCTGTATTCTCACCATTACAGGCAAGATGGCGCCGTCATACTCCAGATTGACCACAGCTACTGTTACTGAGGAGATGTCCTGCAGCTGCTGGGTAAGAGGTTGGCAGGAGCGGGGCAGCACTGAAGAAAGAGCTGTGAACAGAGGAACAAGGCTTCAAAAAACTTTCAATGTCATCCTTCAAATGATCCAGAACATTTGGTGTCACATAGGCAGGTTTGAAAATGGGGTCGCCGGCGTCTTACTGGAGAACTTGAATGCTCACATGTTCATAAAATCGACCAGCAGAAACAATCCTGCTAGTGCTAACTCAGCTGGTTCAGCCGCGACTGATGGCCTGAGAAACAGTGCGTCATTACCAACGTGTCACACAAGAAACATCCCATGATGTGAAACCATCTGAGAGGAAGCATGCTTATGCATTTAAAGGAGATGATGTTAAAATGGATGTGATGATAAATCTGTGTATTCATATGTGACTGAATTTCTACACTAAGAATAAAAGAAGAAGAAAATGTCATGAAGTTACTTTGAAGTTTAAAACTTCGCTCTGACTAGCTGAGGTCTTTGGTGTGTTGGTGTAACCATCCTTTTGTGCGAGGTGGAAGGGGATTGAGATGTCTCTCTCGGACACACCGATCCAGTCTAGACTTGGTCACGCAGCTTCTGAGTTGGACAATATCTTGACAACCAGCCAATGGGTCAATTTTACATTAAAAATCTGGAGGGGAGTGGTCAAGCAGGCACAACTTCAGGAAGAGATAAAACTTCTGAGGTGGCCAACGTACGACCCTGATTTTTTACCTGCCTCCCACGACAGTAGATTTAGACAATGGGTGTGGCATGGAATCACTGCTGTGTTCAGTTATCGTAAAATCTAAAATTAGGGCCTTTGATACCTTATGCAAGACTTACGGCCTTGAGAAACAAGACTTTTTCCGATACTTGCAACTCCGTGACTATATTGGCAAAAGAATAAACAGCTGTGACTTCTCGATTGT